CTAGAAATCTATTGCCATTTTGTGGCTTAGTACTTAAGTTAATCAATGTCATTCTTCAGTTGAGTCATAGGTTTCTCAAATTACCCAAATGAGACAAATAAATCAACCAGAAATGCTCTAAATTCTTATGGAAGATGCAGGTTTTATGGAAATCCTTAAAAAGAGCTCAGAGCCTCTGGATTATATACAGACGTCAGCTTACAGACAAAAGCCACGCTACACAAAAAGTGGCTTACCATTCAAAATTATGTAATTAGTTATATTTGTGTGGTATCATTGCTATATTTTGTATGTCCAATTATATATATGTTATTTCACAAAAATACCTTCTAAATGTGGCCACTTGGCAAAGGGGAGTGACAGAATGTCATATACCTCCGAAATGCTACATATAGAATCAAGAATATCTTTACACAGAAATAACAAGACTTCATCTGAGAAGTTTTCTAGTTCAAAACCTTAAATATCATTTAAGCTTTACAAAAAGAAAGGGCTTTTCTTAAATCCATATACAAATCCATTGTCTTCTAATTCTCATCTCAAGCACATTTAATAGTGCTTTATCTTTTTTAAATCATTTAAGTTGAAAATTAGCAACAGAGTTAAAATTGAGATGATATAAATAAGAACACATGTCAATAAATAGAACTTACGAACGATGTAGCATTAAGAAGGTTTCGAGAAACTAGGCCCTGAGCAGTATGTGAAGAACATGATCGAAATTCATGATGTTAGCAAATTGTTGATGGATGCTAATTATCCCCAGAACTGTAAGCATACTTAAAAGTTCTTTGTATTGGCATATATCACTATCCTAACAACTTGAGAAGCTTCTGTTTCTTAGGCACCTCCTAGATGAATTTCAGAGAATTCAAAAGCTGTAAGGAACCTTTCTTTGTCATTTAACTCACTAGACTGATCCTTTGTACATCACAAGCAAAACATATTTGATCTGCAACTGTTTTTTTTTTTTTTGATTGTGATAATATGTATCGACATCTCAACCTAGTGTGCATGTGTTATGTGTAGCATTCATTTCTGAAGAAGATCCATCATGTATCCGCATCCTTGGATTGGCGGTTGCTTTAAATGTTGAGGGTGTTTATTTGACTGAAACTTCCCAATACAAGGTTTCTTTCTTGTTAGAACTGTTACAGATCAAGTAGAGTCTTTCCTTTTGTTGGCCCTCCAGGTTGACACTGGGTGTAATCACTGTTAAGAGGTGAGATGATGTTCATGTTTATGAAAGCTAGACTTGGTGGGAGGGGGGCTGACTTTGCATACAGGAGCCCGTCCTTCCTGTCTCTCCCCTTATTCCACCAACAATGCTTATTCGTGGCAGTAGAAATTAACCATTTTGACAAATGGATACACACGATATTGTTGTGTGTATTGAGACTTCCACAGATAGCTGTTTGAAGTCTTTCCTGTGCAAGTAGTTTCTCTTTGAAATACACAGGAATGGCTGTATTGGGCAACCCTGCTGCAGGACAGTATCAGTCATCTCACATTTCTGTGATGTGTTTTGTTTTTATCATAATTTCTAGAATCTTTAGTGGAGTTTTACGGCATCATACATTAAGTAAATGCACAAGCTTTACCAGATAAAATTAGTATTTCAGACAGTATAATCCTGAGAAAAAATGCAGTAAATAAAAATAATTTAAAAAAATTCATCCATCCATCTATCTATCTATCTATCTATCTCACACATGGGGGATATAAATCTCTTGTGTTTTTCTTTATAGAAGCAAAGGTTAATTTAGGGTTCTGCCAGGAAGCTACAAAGAAACTGGTCACCTGGTCACATGTTACATGGTATAATTCACTCAGTAGCACATATTCAAAATATGAATGCTTATAACGTTTAATTACTTCTAACTACAAATTTAAGGCACAATAATTGAAGCTTGCATAAATATTTATCAATCTTCAAAGAACTTATCCTGGAAGGGGTCACCAGACCAAAGCCAATGTAAATGTAATGTAAATACAAGACAAGGGAATTTCACACAGTGTTACACATAACAAACAAATAAATAGGAAAGACTTTGCTGTTGCCCAGCCAACCAAGGTAAGAGTAAAAGTGGGACTTTATTTGTAAGTTTTGTAAATTTCTATCGTGTTATCCTCAGCCCAAACCCCCCCCCCCCCCCCCCCCCACCCCCCACCACCTTTGCAGGAAAGTCTGGGTGGCTGTTTAGCACGGCAATTGTCACCATCATTAAAGAAACGAAGTGCACAGCGTTCCTTTAGAAGGTTACTGAGTACCAGAGCAAGTCGCATATCAATTCTATTTAAATATCATATATACCCATATTTTTCTAGTAATTATTGCTGATGTATGTTTTCTTTTAAATAATCCATTGTCAGGGGCTCACGGGAGGGGAGGGTTCTGAAGCGCCCCCTGAAAACTGCCAAACACCCCCCAGTAGCACCCCATTAAATACTGTAACATCACCAAAATTGTTTAAGTAAGCAGACTTCTGTGTACATGTGCGATGTATCTGTTTAAAACGTACAAAAATTATGTGGCCATTAAGAGCACGGACGTCACGGGAGCAGACGCGCCCCCTCTCGGAAGTTCAGCGAATAATCGCAATTGCTTTTGAGCGTTTTGAAAACAGACCGATTTCTTGCGTCTTTGCCCGCAGAGGGTCGATGGGCGTCGCCGCCATTAAATCTGAGGGGGACGTACGTGTCCCCCCTCACATTTCATAATTATTCGTTTGTACCCCCCAACATTTAACATAAAATATTAGTTCACCCAGCGCTGTTTCTATTGATTTGCGAAAGAATCAATTCCACTTGATCGATATGAGAATACACATATGGCATCTAATTCATAAAAAAAATCTGGAGGAGGGTCCCTAGACCCCCCGCCAGTGTGTCCCTCCCATATTCAAAATGCTTCTGACGCCCCTGAGGGGGTCAATTTAATAATAACAAGGTCAATCAAATAGACTCGTTCGCAATGAGATTGTGCCCGTTTAACGTTTTAAAGTGAAATGATCGTGGCATTTATGCAATAGAATAATTACTACTAACTAACTAACTGAAAAACACTCTGTCCAAACGCATTAGCTCCCCCGAACTATTCCTCTACAAAGCCTGAATGAAACCAGTCCATAATTTTATATGTAAGTAAAACTAACGGAAGATGAAACAATGAGGAAACAGTTTATACACAGTAACTATATATCCCGAGGACAATTGATCCTAATAAAGGTTTTGGGATTTTACTTTTTTGCCCATTAAAGTCGTTTTTTGGTTATCACATTTGTTATTTGATTTATTGGTGTATGCAGTATGCGTTCTATACAGCCCTATATAAATATAGAATAGCTTCCTCTGTATTTCTGTTCGGTTCGTTAGGTTGTAGCACCACAGTGCTACCATGCACCACTTGCGAGATCAGTCATCATTCACTGCTTAAAGTGTGTAATTTGAGTCTGCGTTTCTCTTAAAAGCAAAAGTAATGGTTAATAATAGTTCTGAGAGATTAACTGATTTTCTTCTGTGTTCCAAATTGATCGGTGTTCTGTCGTTTAATTATTTTTTCCCGCGCTTGATGTGCTAGTTTGTAAAATTAGTATTAATTAAAAGAACAGTGCTAATTACAGTTCGGTCAGAAATAGACGTCAGACTATTTTATATCGTAAATCTACAGACAAAAACACAAAACAATGTGTCATAACTGCAAATGACAGGAAGGATGTTACTTCTATATGTATAATATCATGTTACATCCATCCATAAAGCCATTTTCTCAAACCGCTTGTCCTATACAGGCTCGCGGGACATTCGAATCTAATTCGAAAATAAAAATAAAACTTTATAAGCAGATGATGAGAATGGCAGCTTATCACTTCATTTATTCGATTAACTTAGAATTTTGTGGTTGTTTAAATGTTTGTATTTCTTTTCAGTTTTATGACTGCTTATTATGGAGTAATTCGCAGGTTAATTGGTCTTTTATTAATTTTTAAATGATGACTTTATATTTTATATTCCTTACACCTAGCTAGCAACGTTAAGGAAATGCAGTAGGCAATTGCTAACAGATTTTAAATATTCAAAAATAATTCAGTCTTCAGTACTTCACGATACACTTTACACGATTACATGATACACACTAGTTCGATAAAATCCATATTGACACGGGATCATTTTTCAAAATTTAAACAACTTTGTAGATAATAGACTAATTTTAGTAATAATAAATGTTCACTAATTTGAGAAACATCTTCTTAATTACACCTTAGAACTTTATGGAAAATAAAAAAAAATATATATTTTCCTATAGAGAGGTTACAAAATACCGCAAAGAAAAAATTTTATTTCCACACATTAGGAAAATATTCCATTTACAAAGAACTTTCTATTTTATATACATATATACAATCACAGTATTATAAAAATGTACACGGCATTCCTAATGATTCATTACTTAATTCAAGTGAAGTGACAGGACTCCAAATGTGGCTACAATGAACTTTTAAGGAACTGTAAATATCAAAAAGAAAACTATCCGGTAATGACCATGGCACTGAAACCTATTGTATATCGTCCCAAAAAGCAGCATGAATTTATGTTTCAAAAAATACTGCTTAAGAATAGAACAGCTTATTGTAGCTGTGGGTATGCCTAACGTGTTACGTTACCAATTATAAATAAAACAAATGTATGTAATGTAAGTAACAAATGTTCTTAATTGATATTACAACTCCAGACTGCAACAAAAATATTGTTCAACTTTTAAGATATACAAAACGTTATACAGCTTGAAAGTAAAATTCCTACACCTATTTGAGTGAAATTATCTATGAATCCGTTATCCTTATGATAATTGCCATTATTACCATACTGCAGGTGTTCTATGAAACCAGAACTGACAACGACATTGGGTTTGGTTTGAGGGTCTGATTGGCAAAAAAAAAAAACTGTTCATGGTTTAGTTTAGTCGTACTAGCAGTTTGTCAAAGAACAAAAGAGAATAGTTCAAGTCAGATTAATTATTTAATTCCTTTACATCACATTTTGTGAAATATGCCGAACTCATGACAAGGACACTTAATTATAAACCTGTATTTCGCTGTTGCATTAAAACAATAAAGTTACCTGTTGATAAACAGTGACGTGTCTTCATAATAATTTATATACATGTATACACATAGAGCAATAAGCTAAAACATTATGACCACCCCCACAAGACGTGAATAATGTTGACTATCTAGTACTATCAGTGCATATCAAGGTCTGGGGTACATTAGACGGCAAGCTAACATTCAGTACCTGTAGTTGACATGTTGTACGCAGAACACATGGGCATAGATAATGGTCTGAGTGACTATGACATGGGCCAAATCATTATGGCCCGATGACTGGATCAGAGCATCTCCGAAATGGCACGGCTTGTGGGGAGGTCACAAGACAACCACCAGCAGCAGGTATGGTGAGAACCTGCACCCCACAAGACAACCAACCACCAGCAGCAGCCATGGTGAGAACCTGCACCCCACAAGACAACCACCTGCAGCGGCCATGGTGAGAACCTGCACCCCACAAGACAACCACCAGCAGCAGCCATGGTGAGGACCTGCACCCCACAAGACAACCACCAGCACTAGCTATGGTGAGAACCTGCACTCCACAAGACAACCACCAGCAGCAGCCATGGTGAGAACCTGCACCCCACAATACAACCACCAGCAGCAGCCATGGTGAGGACCTGCTCACAATGGTCTAAGGAGGGCAAAACCACGAATCATCAACAGGGTGTTGAGCGGCTCATCAATGTGGGTTGTGAAAGAAAGCTAGTGTGGTAAAACCAACAAAGAGGGTTACTGTGGCACAAATAGCTGATAGTTTTCATGATGGTCTCAGGAGTAATGTGTCTCAGCACTAAGGGCATCTTTGAGGGAGGCGTAAAAACAATTTCCCCACAGGGATTAATAAAGTGTTCATTATTATCTTGCCCCTGCTGACCACTGTCCACCCTCAACAGCGCCTACAATGGGCACGCAATGTGGACTTTGGAGCAATGGGAGGAGGCTGCTCGGTCTGATGAATCGCGTTTTCTGCTGCGTCATGTGGGCGACCGGCTGCGCGTCGGGCATCTGGGGGCTGCATTGGACCTACAAGAGCGACCTGCGCGTCGGGCATCTGGGGGCTGCATTGGACCTACAAGAGCGACCTGCGCGTCGGGCATCTGGGGGCTGCATTGGACCTACAAGAGCGACCTGCGCGTCGGGCATCTGGGGGCTGCATTGGACCTACAAGAGCGACGCACGGCTGCAGAGCCCCAGACAGCAGAGCTCCATGTGCTGTGTGACGTGACACATTGTGCCACGCAGCCTTCATTCACATCTCGCCCTGACCAGTCTCGGCGGCCCGACACCCTGTTGGCGATTGGTGGTCTTCCCCTCCTCAGACCACCCTTGGGAGGTGCTCACCACGGCTGACCGTCAGCTTCCCACACGCCCTGCCGATTCTCTGGCCCAGCCGTCGCCGTCTGGCCATAATGACGTAGCTCATCAAAGTCACTCATCTTTACCTTTTCTTCTGCATTCAGAATGTCAATCACAAGTCCCGAATGTTAGCTTAATATATCCCAGACCTTGACACACACCATTTTTACTAGATGGTCAACATTATTTACTCCACATAGAGAAATAGTCTTAGGCTGTGTTTGTGCTAACAAGCTGAAGTGACTGAAATCTGATTCTTGCCTGAATGTGCATCAAATCTGATTTTTTTCCAGATCGGTATTCATCTGGTTTTTTGCCTGTATACATGCACTGAGTATTTCCTTTTTGTCAGTGAGGTACCATTGCGCAGGTGAACCATTTCAGCGGACAGATGCCTTCACATTACAGATAGATACAGGTCACTTGTAATTATGAATGCGAACCATCAAGACAGGCAAATCCAGTCTAAGCAAAAAATCGGAATTCGACAATGAGGCTTGTAATGTGAACTTAGCCTTTTGGCTCTTGAGTGTATAAACAGTGCAATGTTTTATCTTTAATTTTCTGAAAATTTCCCATCTTAACAAAACTACTGTAAATGAGAATCTTATACACAAATTCTGTAACCATGGATGTTCATTATGTGTTCACAGAAGTTAGAGGATAAGCTAAAATAATACAAGACAATGTACAATTGAGTCTGTATCACAATGCTGTAATTATGCTATTAAAAGCTGGCTTTTTACAATTTTCCACTCATTTTTTATCTGAGGATTTGGAGATATTTTATGATGACTTTGTAAATTTAACTTAAGCTAATAGAGCAGGAAAATAATTTCAATCCTTTGCAGTCTATGAATTATTATAAGGGATAGCAAAATTTTAAACCGACAAAAGGGCAGTGCATTTTTTAAAATTTTGGCCCAGTGGGATTTTCAAATTAGCTTTCTTTGTGTCTGTGTCTGTGTGTGTGTGTGTATGGGTGTCTGTGTGTGTGTGTGTGTGTGCGTGTATATGTGTATGTGTGTGTATGTATGCACATTTTAATACATGGCAATGCAAATGCACACACTGCACATCTTCGAAAGCTGCCATCGCCGCTTCTCCACCAGTAGATTATAGCAAATGTTTATAATTTTCAAAATTTTTGAAATAATTTAAATTATATATGCAAGATCAGCTTTCTCATGAATGAAGAAAACAGCTGTTTGTTGACCTTCTCCAGAACAAAAATGTTTTTAAATAATATTTATAAAATAAAAGAAAGTTTCATTAAACAAATTGTGCATAAAGCTTATGTACCTCTGCTGTGCCTGAACGGTTACCATTTTCCTCTTTGATAGTAAGTTTGAGTAGCACAGGAATTCTGTGTCCATTCAACCATTCACAGGACAGGGTCAGAATAGTCAGTGATCGAGCAGAAGTGGCAGGCAATATGAACCAAAGATAAAATCCCCCACTGGATTTTTGTGTTCTATTGCTGGGAGTAATGTCAGTGTTATGGTGGGATGACGTGGCAGCACTGCGGGCAAAGGGTGTCAGCTGATTGGGGGGGCGGGTGCTGGCGTTCAGGGGTGCCCTGCAGGCGGGGCGTCTCCCAGTCGGAAGCTCCCTAGGAAGGTGGTGTGGTTGCTCATGCTAATGGAGGTGTCCTCATACACCATCTTAACGGCGATCCTCTGGCGGGCACGCAGCAGGCGGACGCCGGCGGTGTAGCAGGTGTTGAACTTACGCTGGCCCGCCTCGATGCTGCGCGTGCAGCGCAGGAAGGGCGTCTTGTCCACCATCACTTCATAGCTAGCAATGTCGGTGAAGTTCAGGAAGTACACCTGGCAGAGAAGTGGGAAAAGGCTCAAAAAGTATGAAAAGAAAAAAAAACTTAAAAGGCAGATAGGACTCTATGTCTATTAATTTCCAATTTTTAAGATGTATTACACTGGAAAAACATTTTTCTAGTTTGGAATTAACTTTCTGAACCCTTCATTATGACATTACAGACCTTGCGTATCTGCCAGTTGTGCAGTGAGAAGGGGCAATGGGCATGCAGCTGACAGAAAGAGTTAGGCCCAAGACCGTACTCACTTCTACCTGACTATAGATGAAGTACATCCCGTCGAGCAGCACCTCCAGCTCGCCAGACCTCGAGTGCATCTTGAACACCTTGTGATGAATGGAAATCATTTTCCAGTTTCTGAGGATCCCTTCTGAAAGATCTCAGCGTGAGAAAAACAGTCACTCAATTTCTGTTATTGTAGCAAGCGGCAGTTAGTAAGGCAGGTTAATTAACAAAGCTACTGCAATTGTGTATCCAACTGTTGCACCCTTACAGTGCTTCACAGTCACATCTTACATTGTTTGCAGTTTTCATGAGTGTCAAACATCTGTGCTAGAAGCTGCTACTTGTAGTTTGTATGACAGTGAGAGGAAATTGCTTTTCCAAAAATACTTTGCATCTAACAATCTTGTGGCATCCATTACTACCGTTTACACAACTCTTAAAATGCACTTGAAGGCTGGAACAAAAAGGTATATCAATAACTGGAGGCTTCGTTCCCAAGTATTGTATACCATACAAATAAAGTTGTTTTGTTGCTATAATTTAACGCTTACCTTCCTTGACCTGGATAGTAGTTTCCTGGCCTTGCAAATGCACCACAGCAGGCTATAAAAAAATAGTTTGAAGTAAACATTTTTGTTACATTATTTTCACAACTGGAGTCCTCATTAAAGAAATACCTTGCAAAATCTAAAGCCCACTTCCAGTGGAAGCTGTGAATCATTTCAGATTTAAGAGATAAGATAAAATAACACTTTACATAAACCACAAGGAAATTCTTAAAATTTCCCTCAACTGTACCTACCTTTTCTCACAGAGAAAGGTTACACTTTCATTAAAGAACTTTTTTCAAAGTTCATTGTTTTTGTTAGATTACATCGCCTCTAGCTATCAAAACTCGTTTACATTTTTTACAAGTCAATTCTGTTATGTTGCACTACAAATATGCATGCTGTTGTTATAAATTACACATATGCCTATGTTATATTATGTGAAAGTCAAGAAAGCATTTGATGCTTTGTCTTATCGTACGAAAAGAAATAGAAAGCATGTTTGTTTTTAGAGAATAAACTCATTTCTCAAAAAGTGCTGTTTTCCTGAGTTCGGTTGGTGTTTTTTGTGCCCACTGTGAATTACTGCACGTTACATCAGCTAAAACACAGAGAACAGACAGACATTATATCCCCCATACTGTATAACACAATCGGATGGCACATTACCTGCATCATCTCTCTCGCTCTTTTATCCATTCCACCTGTAGATTGAAAAATGAGTCTCAGTTTTTTACAGTGTTACTGTGGGTCTCCATTTCATAATAAGTCCAAGCATTTAACCATAATCTGCTTGTGGTGTCTGTTGAATGTTGTACTCTTGTCTTATAAATGTATATATAGCCCAAACTGTAGTGGCTCATTAAAAATGTGACAGAAGTGGTTTCAGCTTCACCTGCAGGTCCGTGTGGGCCTGGGGGCCCCGTTGTTCCTGGGGGCCCCATTGGTCCTGGGAGTCCAGGCGGCCCGGAGGGGCCCATGGCATTGCTGCCTGGGATCCCAGGTATACCAGGGATTCCAGGGGGCCCCTGAGGCCCCTGAGGCCCCGGAGGCCCGGGGGCACCAGGCTGCCCTTTCCTGCCTGAGTTGCACAGGTAATATGAAGTTTAATATAACTGTCAGAACAGTACAAAGATTTAAATGTGGAGTGTGAAGTAAATATTAAGTAATATGGTAGATAGACAGAGACAGAGAGACAGACAAAGACAGACAGACAGACAAAGACAGACAGACAGGCAGGCAGGCAAAGAAAGACAGACAAAGACAGACAGACAGGCAGGCAAAGAAAGACAGACAAAGATAGACAGACAGGCAAAGCAAAGACAGACAAAGACAGACAGACAGGCAGGCAGACAGACAGACAAAGACAGACAGGCATGCAGGCAGGCAGACAAACAGACAGGCAGGCAAAGACAGACAGGCAGGCAAAGACAGGCAGGCAGACAGACAGACAGGCAGGCAAAGACAGGCAGGCAGACAGACAGACAGGCAGGCAAAGACAGGCAGGCAGACAGACAGGCAGGCAGGCAGGCAGGCAGACTTCCTAAATCCCCATGGAAAAATGAAGGCTGTCTAACCAAATGTACAAATAATGTTAAAACTCTACCTTTTTTCTTTTCTTTTCTCTTTCCATTTGATTCTGCAAAAGGAAGAACAAATTAGAAAAAGCCTGTCCCAGCCACTGTTACTCTTGCAGAGTTATCATCATATATTTATGACCAAAATTAGTCATAATTTGTCCATCACACAAAAGAGGCTCTTTGTATTACATCTTTCTTGTATTGTTTAGTCACTGGAATTCTTATACCCTTTATGGATGTTTTTAAAATTTTTGATCTTATTCCATTTATTGCAGAACATAAAATGCAAAACCAAAATAATCTGTAGACACACACACACACACACACTTTTGTGTGGACCGTCCATTCATTTCTATGGGCAAAACCTTAATCCCAACAATGACAACCATAATCCCCACACAGCCCTAACCTTCACCACAAGTAACCAAACAAAATACAAGTTTCTTGGCATTTCTAGTTTTTTGATTGTAGTCACAGATTTTTATAAAAGTAAATTTCCTGTTGTAATGTATACCTGGACCACTCAGAAACGTGCATACAGTTTTAAAACTAACCATAGGGGGGCAGTAGTGTATGATAATTCAAACTGTAGAAAATACTAATTCAGAAAGTGAGGATGATTTCTTAATGTAATCATGAACTGTTAATGACATGAGGAGACTTAATAAGAGTAGTGTACATATATGTATAGATTACAGTTAATGTATGCATTATTCCAGCTTCCACAAATGTGTAATATAGGCATGGATAACTGAAAGCCACTAAGGTTGCTTTTGACAACATAAAGCCACAGAATATTATAGATATGAGTCACATGACAAAGAATTACAACACCATACATATAAATTAACTCAGCAGTGAAATAGTAATCAACTGGTACTTTCATTTATCCATGAGAACAAGGTTCAGTAATTTCACTCTTTTGTATTAGCAGAAAAAATGTTATATGGCTACCTCACAAAATATACACAGTGCTAATTTTCACAATTGGAAACTTTTATGGAAGTTTTTGGTCTTGAAAGTAGGAATATTGCCAAATGAACTCTGGCCTATGTGCCAGAATTAAATCTTAATGGATATTTACAAGATTTAAAAGACTATTGTCACCACCATATTTATACAACACACTTTAAAATCTACAATTAATAAATGAAGATGAAATCTGACTAGGAACCAACAGACTCATTTATTCTTGTTCAGAGGCTAAAAAACAAACAATTATACAAGAATAATCTCACTAACAAAGAGCAGCCGATTATGAATCTGCACTGATTAAACAAAGAGTCAAATAAACTTAAATGCGTAACACAAAAAGCATGAACTGTGCAGCAGTTCTATGAAGAGAAACTAGCTATTATATCTTTCATTTTATACCACAGATGTCCAAGCTTCCACAGCACTTTGCTCCAGGGTAGAGTCTTTTTTCAATTTTATACATCCGTGCTAAACCTCATGGTAGATGAAAACTTCAGAGAACCACAGTTACATAAAACAAACATAAGAAGTGTATCAAACTTTTGGGATAAACATGTACATGAGCAAGAGAAGAATGCACATATTCATTTTTAAAGGACATCAAAGGTACATTTGCTAGAGGGGTCTCTCCCTGTTAACACATGGAGGGTCAAACAATGAAAATAAAATTACATTTCATAAACATGAGTGCCAAACATAGGCAAACACTCAGATTTTGGATTACAGAAGTGTGAGAAGGTTTTTATCAAAAACGCAACAGTATGATGTAAATCAAATACAGATGAGAACCGCAGGATGGGTGATTACATTACAAACGGAACACAGGGGGACCCTCAGAATTGGCTGTCCAGGGGTGCAAGACCAGTAAGAGCAAGAGGACTTTCCCATAAGTCTCAGTGTCCTTTGCCGTGGCTCTTTCTGCACAGTAGCGTTTTGTTCCATTGTTGGTATAAAGGCCCTTCGACTTTACATTTGCAGTGTGAGCCCCTTCAAACACACAGTACAGTGAGATTAGTGTTACTAAATATTAAGCATTTTTCCTATAGGGTGGCATGGTGGTGTGGTGGTTAGCACTGTTGCCTCACACCTCCGGGACCTGGGTTCGAGTCTCCGCCTGGGTCACTGTGTGTGGAGTTTGCATGTTCTCCCCGTGTCGTCATGGGTACTCCGGTTTCCCCCCACAGTCCAAAGACATGCTGAGGCTAATTAGAGTTGCTAAATTTTGCATGTATGAGTGAATGGCGTGTGAAAACCCGTCCTGGGTTTTTCCCTGCCTTGTGCCCTGTGATGGGCTGGCCCCCCATCCTGGGTTTTTCCCTGCCTTGTGCCCGTAGCTTCTGGGATGGGCTCCGGACCCCCCGCGGCCCAGAAAGATAAGCGGGTTGGAAGGTGGATGGATTTTTCCTATAGTGTTATGAAATATGAATAATGTCAGGGACATCAAATAACACCCAGCTTCTCATAATACTGTCATGCCTAAATCCTCCCCTCTTCCAATCAATCATCCTTTTGCCAGACCTAAATTCAAGTGGAAATTCACATAGCAGTCGTTATAATTTTTTATTAACAGAAACACCCGTTTTACCTGGTTTGAAGGCATATAGATAAATTCAAAATATCAGTGCTTTGCTGCTCAATATCAATACTGATATATCAGAACCTCTGAAACAGCGGACAGTACAGTTTCTGAACATAAATGCTGTAAGACAGCACTGGAGTGACCTCTCCAGGACGCAAGCCTGGGCGCGGGTATGGAGACACTAGGCTGCCCAGACAGTGGTATCCCCCTCTCGGCCTTGCTGGTGAATTCCAAAGGAAAGCAAAGCAATACGTTTGGCACCAGCTTGGCTGCAGGAGTTGCCGGCTGGGGCGCAGAGCACTGGCCAGCCGCCTTAGGGGCTCCACTCCGGATTTTCTGTCTGGGTTTACTCCCATAGCCTTTTCTCCTCCCGGAAGATACCCACAAGGCAGCGGGGCTGGTAACCATGGCAGGGGCATGGTTGCTGAATGCCTGAGTCACGTCTGTGGAACCCATGTCCGTGAAACCCAGGGTCGTCGCGCATCGAGACTGTCCAGCACATCTGGCACACCTGGCGCTGTGGTTTGAAATCAGAGTTTTCCTTCTCCTAGACGAACTGCCTACCAAGGCTAACGAGCTCCGTCTACCCGGATTTATCACATAAATGCTGATATACTTGTAAATAACATTTAAAATGACCATTGTTACTCCAGTGAGAACAAATGTGAAAACTTCCCCTACAACAAGATGCCGATCTCTGTAATCTACTCAGTCAGATGAAAGCATTCTCTTGTGTGAAAAGTAAACACACAACCAACACTGCATTAGGAACTCGCAATGGAGGGAATTATTCTACTAAACATGGGAAATAGATATAATTTTCTAAGAAATAATACTTTGTATATTTTTTTCTATTCTATTAGTTAATGAACATGGTACCCAGACCATGGGTCCCAGACCTTTTCAGCCCATGATCCCCAAACTAGCAGTGCCAGAGACTCACGAACCACGTTTTGCCAACCGGGGGTCAGATTTCCAATGTGCCCCTTGGCAGATTTCACCAATGGGGGGAACCTCTGTAAATACGTGATGATCAGGGGGGGCTCCCTCAGTAGATTTTTCACTAACATCTGGTTAAAATTTAATGTTTTTCTTTACATTATTACAGTTTTACAAACATATTCTACAAAATGTATTACAATGCCTGCTAGGCCTCTATATAAAGCAGAGGGCAATGGTCACCAGTTCCTAAAGTCTCAAGGTCCTACCACACTCACATACACTTGGCAAAGGACCCTAATCAGGACAGGCAAATATATAGACAGGTGACCAGCATCATTAACAATAAGTGGGAAACACACATAAGACAGACCATGAAAGAAAAATATAATATTCCTTCATATATAAACAGTTGATCAAAGAATTAGCTATTCTTTCTGCAAGATATTTAAAGAGATACAAGTACAGAAAGAGTTTGGCCAAGAGCATCTCCATTATCCCCACAGCCATCAGAGGTATCCACCTGGACAATTATGCTAGGAACAAAATAAATGTTCCCTGTTCCCGACAGCACCTCTTTGCCATCGGACTACTCCAGCCAGACAAGGAGGAGAGCACAACCAGATCTGACAAGTTGGCAACAGTCTACGCTAACAACATTCTTCAAGACTAAGCTTGCGTGCCAACTCAGTCAAAAATAAATGTTTGCAAGGATAACTAAGATGTCATAGCATCCTTTATCCTTTCCACTCAGTAATAATGTGTATGTTTGCTTGTGTACATATAGGTCAGTCCATGTGTTACTGTTATTCAGTACATTCATGTGCAACTCGGTCCAGCTGCTCGAGTTCTCAGCAATGAGGATCCTGCGAGCCGGATCACCCTCAGGGAGTCGCTCCACAGGGCCGTAGTGCCGTAACTGACGCTCCCTCACAATGCAGGTAATGTGCCTCATTCGGGACTCAGGACTCCTCTAGCAACCGCTCGTTCAACACAAAATCAAACCAGTGGCACGCAAGGATTCTTCGAAGAGACACAGTACCGAAGGATTACAGTTTTCATCTCAGGTCACTGGATATCCTCCACGTCTCGCAGCTATACAGTAAAACAGACAATTGGTGCACTTTTATGAAACTGCATTTATGCAGTTATGTTAAATCTACTGAGTACATATGATAAAACTGAACGTTTTACCCCTCAAAAGTGACTCCTGATAACTGGGGTGTGACAAAGCATTTCTAATCATTACAAATGCTAATCATCTTACGTCACACAAACAGATGTTTGTAAACCAAACTTTCATGTCTGCACTAAATTTACTGGGTTAATCCTTTATTTTAGACTTCATTAACACTGTAATACATCTTCAAGACTTTTTCACATTTTTCACATTATCCCACAATGTCTGGGATAATTTTAACCCACCAGAGTATAAACTGTTTTCAAAAACCATATAAAGTAAAGCAAAGGAAGCACAAGCAATGCACAACTGTAAGACTGAATGAGTCCAGTAATTATGCATGAAAACACCTTATTTCATGCTTATTTAACAGACCACATCAAGCATTTTCACACGTGCCCACCACAGATAACAAAAAACAAAACGAAACAAACAAAAAAAACAAACAAACGAGGAAACAAAGCTGCCGTCAATGTATAATTAGAAGATAAACTCACTTTCTTAATTAGAATTTGGTGATCAGTGGTCATTGTCAACACACCACAGCACACAGTGCGCAACAATGAAATGTGTCCTCTGCATTTAACCCATATGTCACTTTTCGTGACAGCAGGGGGCAGCTAATTCAGCACCCGGGGAGCAGTGCTTGGGGGCGGTACCTTGCTCAGGGTACCTCAGTGGTGCCTTGCTGGTCGGGGATTCAAACCTGCAATCTTTCAATTACAAGTGCGCTTCCCTAACCATCAAGCCACCACTGCCCACTAGTAACACCAGCACAGAGAGCAAATAAAAACAGGGTTCAGTTACAGTACCAAGCTGTGCGTAGAGGGGGGCGGGGCATGGCAGAGCAGGATCCATGCTGTAAGTTATCATAGAGCCCATTATACATCTGACAGCTACTGCCAGCTATAGAAAAGTATTCTTAAGTTGGAATGGGAGACATATTATGCCTCATTAATAAGGTTGGAGCGAATACATTTACTATCAGAAAACTCATAGTATTTGGGCACAGACAGTACATGCAGATGGCATGACCGCAGTCTCGTCCCCAGCATGAAGTAAAATCAAATTATGTAATCAATCAACATAACATACCCATTACGTTACAAGGAGAAACGTTCGTCCTTTAACTGAATCATTTATATTCTCATTTTAATCAGAAAAATTTATATTACTTTATAATGCAAGCCATTTTTAGAATTTGGTGATCAGTGATCATTGTTGACATTGTTGCACAACAACGAAATGTGTCCTCTGCATTTAGCCCATATGTGACATCATGCCATAGCGGCTGGCAGGTAATTCAGCGCCCGGGGAACAGGGGAGGCGGTACCTTGCTCAGGGTACCTCACTGGCGCCTTGCTGGTCAGGGATTCGAATCAGCAATATTTCAATTACAAGTGCGCTTCCCTAACCATTAAGTCTTCACTGCCCATAATGAGATAGGGGTCTTGTTATGACGAAGAACTGGATAAATTTTATCATAATGCCTGTAGATCTGCCATATTGGATTATTTCCCCAATACTGCTAAATTATTAGTACTTCAAAAACCTGAACCACTAGGCCTGCCAGCACCACATGAACAATGATTCAAGACATCTGGTTCTGAAAATGTTTCAACAAAAAGGTGCCATATTAAACTTCCAGATATTCTTCTTAATTTTAACTTCAGAATGTGAATGGAAACCATGGTGAACAATATTTTAAGACTTCCACCTGATATGGAGAAAAGTATGTGGACACCCCTATTAATTTGAGCAACTGACCAATGAAGCCACAATTATCACTGACACAGGTGTACAGGCACAGAGCCATGCTCTCCATCAGTAAACCTTGGCAGCAGGATGAGTGGTCATGCAGAAAAGGTTAGTGATCTAGAAGAGGGTCGTGTGGGGTGAAGTTACCCCAAGGTAACATAGAGCATAAGTTAGGGGTCGACCCTCTTTGGGATGGCAGTCCATCACAGAACACACAAGGACACAGTACACGGAATGTAGAAATGCAAACACACACAGATCAGGGGTGGCATTTGAATTTCCAATCCTGGAGGTAAGTTACATCAAAACTACTGTGCTGCCCAACAGTGACCTTTACTTTTCACTCATCTCATTTAATTAACAGTCAAGTCATATTCAGTAATAAATGTGAAGAAACAGCAACCCGAAAAGATAAGTATCTGTACCTGAATCGGGCAGCTTACTTCTGCTCCTTTTGATTCGATGAATAACTCCTTCCTCTCCTTCACTTTGGCTTCTGCAATCATCAGTCCTTGTAGCCTGGAGAGGGACAAGTCAGGAGAAGGTGTAATAATAAAATTAAATTTCTACCTCCAAATGATCCTTATATTTCATATAAGACAAATTAACTTATTTACTGTACAGCTAGAATTATCACTTATGTATTTCAGTAATTTTTTGTTAAATTATTTTTTAATAAACATAAACCACTACTTCCCTTGTGAGGAATTTCTCCCAGGAACTAAAAGGTATATGCTTCAGTATTTACTGATGTTCTAACCATTAGTAGATGCATTAACTCATCATGACTCAAGCATTAGTTTAACTATTAATATATGCTAATTTGTGTACCAGTATTGTGAGATATACTGGTAACACTTTACCTCAAACTACAGGTGATGCTGTGCACACTGTCTAGTTCCAGCTAGTAAAATACAGCCTCTCTGGCTATTTATACCAGCTAATCTCATCAAGGCCTGGTGCTTTATTAGTTTTCAGAACAGAACTGGATGAGTCAGTCAAAAAAATTATGACAATATGTGCGGAAGGTATGTGCAGATTTGTTAAACAGTGCTTACCAGTGAATTTTTGTTATGAAACCAATGAATTTGCAACATTATTACAGAATCGAGCAAGCGTCCCAAGATCTTCGTTGAGCACTGTACATGCGGGTACCTACGCATAAAGCTGCTTATCAAAAGTGTCTGTAACTACTACTACTCTTCTTCGGCCACCTACTGGAAATACCAGTAGTTATTTTTTTTGCACATACGCAGTGAAAATCTGGTAAGCACTCGCACAGTCCACTGGACACCCCTGGTAACTACATTTACATCACTCACCCTGTGAACAAACTGTATCGGCATATCGCAAAGGGAAGTACGAATTAGCCTTTACACGGTAAACGACAAAAATGCAAACAATCAATTACAAAATTCATTGCCAATAAAAGTGATTTAAAACATTTTAAATATATGCAATATTTTAAATATATCTAATATTGTTTTAGTCAAAGGGTGGCACGGTGGACAGCACTGTTTGCCCGCACCGCTAGGAATTGGGGTTCAAACCCCACCTCTGCTCTGTGTGTGGAGTTTGTGTGTTTTCCTGTGTCATATGGATTTCCTCTGGGGATTCCAAAGACATGCAGGTATCTAAGCCCATAATGTATTAGTGTGTGAACACATGCAAATTAGAGTAACACAATAAAAACCAGTAAAAATTTCTTCTGTTGTCAAAAAAGTTACTGATATCTAGTTGGATGGCTGGATGGACACCGCTTCAGGGGCACCTCAGCCATTCCATGTGTTTGTTAGCTCACTTACTTATTTAAATAATTAGTTAAAAAAGTCAATGAGATATTGATTAGCTATACAAGGTTTGCTAGTGGCCGAGGGAAAAAATACATGTGTGTATTGGACGGTTCCTGCAAACACTGGGGTGATTTTAGCAGAAGCTTTGAAATGGCTATGCTGACACAGATTGCAAGATATAATAGCATAGTTTTACTCCATCATAAAGATCATTTAAACATCATTTTCTTTGGCTGCCTAAGACTTTTGCACAGTACTGTATATGCCCTCAAAAGTGTGATGCTAAGGTTTTGTTGGAGTCATTAGCGTATGAATCCTACTCGTACACTGTGACTGTTTCAATGATGTGTTCAATAAACACAAGAACGATACAATAATTGCATTATTAGTTAAAACTTAGATGAGGATCAGACCATTTTTAAGACAAATTCAAAATTACCCTCATAAAAGCTGGTAGTTCAAAAGTGTTCACGTACTTTTTCTTGTCACTATATTTGAACCACATGCAGACAGAAACAAATGCATCAAACTGTACAAACACAAGAACAAACAACTCAAGAAAGGGCAAATATTACAAATGTAAAGTCAATCAGAATATTGTTCAAGTTTTGGCTGACTAGTAACATTTACTTAGAACAATCAGTGGTTATATCAGATTAAAGTTTAGCCTGGCGGTCTATATGAGTTGTCCATGTAGGAAGTGGGAAACATACAATCCCTGCAGACACATGACCAAATGAGCTCATATAGTATAAACTGAAGCTACTTCAAAAACTGTCATTCTAGCATTCAGATACTTAGATACATTTTGAATGGCCTGAATATTTATTCATGGTAGAAATAAAAGATATCATCTTTGCAAAGATGTGCAAAGATATCATCTTCCTTTAAGGTTGTGTTAGATTACCGTTTTTATCCGAGATACACTTACTGTCTATGTGGATCTTATTGATTTCCCCAGCTTGTCAGTTCAGTGCTTTCAACAGTGAATTGATTTGGTTCATCATTGTATCAATGTACACAATCGTCAAGTGGACAAGTTCATCTACAGGGCGTATTGTATAGTCTTAACATTTAGAGCTACTGGCCATATCATATTATTTTATATATAATCATTCTCATCAAAAGTGAACAGAACAATCTCATTATAATGCTATAACTAAAGACCAATATAATATGATCAGCAAGCTACCTATTCAGTAAAATTCAATACTACTATTGTTCCAAAAACAATGTTTTTACTCGTGTTACAAAAGCATCATGAACGAAAAACCTGAGCCAAAGAAAAGTACTATATTTACTGTCCTTACGTTACAATCCACCTTTTAACTCATAAGCATTTGTATTAAACAAGTTTTATCATGCATCAGCATAGGCAAGGCAATTTTATTTATATAGCACAATTCAGACAAGGCAATTCAAAATGCTTTAGAAAATCAGAAGTGCGCATTTAAATAAGACATTAAAATCAAAGACAAAAAAATAAAAATTAATCAAATTAAAATAGAATAAAAATTTATAAAAAATAATATAGTTATACATTCTTACAATATAGGTATGGTACATGTATATTTTCCCTTATGCGGGGAAAGGAAATGACCAAGTAAAAGTATAAAAGTATAGCAATTAACACACGCACACACACCATATATATCACACATCATGAAGTTATTTAATGAAATTCTATGAAACCCACAGAATTGCTCAAGTGAGTGTCAATGAAGACAATAAGAAATTCTTGCTACTTTCTATTGCACTGCAGTTCAATTTTGAATAAACAATATTCTAATGTTTGATGTTTTTGAGCAAATATATACTTATTGACCAGATAGCTTTGGTGGCTTAAGACTTGTGTATTCCATTTTTAATTAAAATGTAAAAATTCTACAGAAGAATATGGATCCGTATTGATGATCAGTACTTGCCGAATGTTGTTGATGTGCTCATTAGTGTCTTTACCATCATGTGGTCAAGCCCCATGTATCTATTCTATTACTGCTTTGTTTGAAAATGGACATTCAAAGTGGAAAATGGACATTCAAAGCAGACCCATTCAGTATTTCAAGCATAGCTGTTGGTGGAGAATGACACATGGTAAGATGAGAATGAAGTTAAGGGAAATGACACTTGTAAAAGGAACATAATGATGATGGGAAGACAAGACAGGCAGCAGGACAGCAAAGCAGTAAGAGGAGCCCAGGGAGGGGGCTGTGCGATTTATTAATCTATGTGAGAAATTTCACAAGAGCAGATGCTGACCTGCCAAAGTCCAACCTAATAGGACGAGCTTTGAAAAGCCATAGAGACAGGTTGTCTAGACCATGCAACATGACTCTGTAGCGAGTAGCAAAGCATTTCAATGTAGGATGCTGTTTCCAGTATGGTTTAAATTGCAGTCTTTAGAGGACACTGTTATCTCATCCACTGCGTTATAATAGAGAGGCTAAAACATAGGCCTTTCACTTTCTGCCAGAAAGTAGGGCAACAGGAACTTGACTGGCTTCTTGAAATACAGTGACCCCAAATGAACTCACAGCGTCAAGACACCAAAAAAGGTCAACCTAGCTTGATTCTACCACCAGGCTTTTATTAAAGGCACAGAGCTTGTTCTGATTAGGTCATTTACAAATGACAGGTCTCTCCAGGAGCCCAAAGCGAACCACATAAATCAGGCCCACACACCCAGGGAGCATGTCAATGTCTATATGAGTTGTCCATGTAGGAAGACTCTACTTCAGCTTAACCAGCTCACACATTCAGCTTTATTTAAGGTGCACAGCCCAGCTCACAGGACCTTCTTCCTGTATTTACTGCACAGCCCAGGACACAGGACCTTCTTCCTGTATTTACTGCACAGCCCAGGACACAGGACCTTCTTCCTGTATTTACTGCACAGCCCAGGACACAGGACCTTCTTCCTGTATTTACTGCACAGCCCAGG